GATCGAATTGTTTGACCTGTGTTAGCATATCGGCTCCTATGCGAATGCCTCGGTATTACCTGAATGTTAATTATAGTAATTTGTTTAGTTGTGGCTAGCAGAAAACAACATCACTCACTGCGGTGCAGGCACATCCAGCTGACGAGTCCCAAATAGGACGAAACGCGCGTTCTGCATTCTTCTGCTAGCCACAACCAAACAAATTACCTTCGCTCGTTTTCCTACTTTGCCATACACTCATTCTATATTGCATAATTACATTTAATTTCATAATCCCTTGTCTATTTTCCCACTCTAAACCCAAATGTATGTCAATTAACTTCCTTTAGTCATTCAATATATTTTTCCCCCAAACCGGAAATAATTCTGGGACGTTCTACTCAATATAACATACATATATTCATCATCATCATTATCACTCTTGAGTCTGGCGCCTTAGACCGCTTGGCCAACACGACATAACATATATTCACGAATGTACAGCTTAGTAAATGACTTCGTCGAAAAGAAAAAGAATTTTCTTCACTGTAACCACGTCTTGTCTTTTCCTAGGAAAGAATGACTAATGACATATTTATAAAGCTTTGAGAAAATAAGCAGAAAAACGAAAAACCTAAAAGAATTCGGTCGGAAAAGTAACTATCATATAGTGAAATAGACATCAACGATAAAGTAAATATAACAAATCAGATTAACGAGATCTGATAATATTTCATCAGCGAAAAATATATGATGGACAACAAAGTCTTTTGAAATTGATCTACTTATTATTATTATTTGTCCCTTGGGTTCCTAGTGGAACATAGGGCTCAGTAGCACGTCTCCATTCCACTCTGTTCTCTGAAATCTTTTCAACCTGGCTCCACGACAGCCCACAACCTCTCATTTCCTCCTCACACCATCTCCTCCATGTCACCCTCGCCTCCCACTAACAACTCGTCGCTTCCCATCTGGATTCCACTCGATATCCTAGCCTGACGCGTGATGTCCCCAGTCGACCTTCTCACTGTATGCCCAATCCATCTCCACTTCCTTCCTCCGCATATTTGTTGAGCGATAGCTTCCTGCTTGGTTGGTTCGTTCCCAGAGCTCCTTGTTGCTTATTCTTACTATTCTGGCAATCTATCTGATCTTCAGTAGCGAGCGTAAGCAGTTGTTGATGAATGTGTGTAGTTTGTTGGAAATCCCTTTCGTGACGCGCCAAGTCTCTGAGTCATACAGAAGCACTGACTTGACGTTGGTGTTGAAAATCCGGATCTTGTTCCACATGCTGAGTGCAGTGCAGAAGATCTCCACACTGGTTTCAGGCTAATGAACACCTGTCTTGCTTTTCCGATTCTGACTTTGACACCTTCGTCTGTGCCGCCTGTAGTTGAAACAGTGCTTCCTAGATAGGTGAAGGAGGCTACTTCCTTCAGGTTTCTCCTACTGATGGTCATTGGAGCTTCTTCTTGTTGTTGGTAGCGTTGGTTGGGTATCTTCATCACCTCTACCTCTGTCTTCTCTATATTCACTTGAAGTCCCGTCTTCGCCGCCGTGCCCTGCCTCTTCTACCAACCTGTTAGTTTTCACCTGCAGATCTTCAAGTTTGTGTGACATCAGACACAAGTCATCGGCGAAATTCAAGTCTTCTAGGTTCTTTTCCGCGGTCCAGCATATCCCCCTCTTCTCGCTCCCCACTGTTTGTTGCATGATCCAGTCGACCAAAGTCAGGAATATCATGGATGATAGTAGGCGGCAGCCTTGTTCTACCCCTGTCTTCACTTCAAAGGTGTCACTGAGCTGAGATGTCCATTGTGCATTACTTGGCATGTGGTATCTTCATATAGTTGTTGAATGAGGCTGATAAAGGTTTGCGGTATTCCGTAGTATTGAAGCAGATTCCAAATTAAAAGTGCATTTAAAGTGCTACTGAAGAAAATGACACAGGTAATGAGAGCTGATGAAACTGTTAATCTAGAAATTACACAAAGTACTTTTAAAATATAAAATGCCACATTTATCAACACAGTTCATGCAAATCACTTCTGCATTATATCTTTAAGATGAACTATCCCTCAGTAATTGTTGTTTCGTCTTTTTCTCTACCTCTACCGATTGGATAATAATTCCAGTTGCTTTTCCAAGGAGCCATCATGCCTTGTACTACTTATGTACATTTTTGTGAGTATTCCACTTCAGTTAACGACTGAGAATAGATTAATCAAACTATCATGTAATTTGGTTAGCCCTAAAAATGAGAGACGAAATCAACATAAGACCCGGAATAACTACGATTTTGCCCTCGGACCCCCATCATAGCATAAACATTTACACTACAATGGCAACTGCTTGTCTTACCACTGTTCAACTGGCATTTCTGGAATGATAGGACCTCGAGCGAACAAGTTTTCTACTAGCATGGCCTATTGGGTCATTATAACGTACAAGTTTGACCCTATGACGGTATAGCATCCATTGGTAAATACCGGCTTCTTAGGTTATACTTTCTGATAGCTGATTTGCTTCATACACAATCTATTGTTTCTGCTTGGATACCTTCATCTAAGAGTCAATTAGTGAACAGAGAACGAACAAGCATTGATAACCCTTTTATTCGATTTTTTCTAGTTCTTTTGTAACCTGCGACGCATACATTGATATATAACTGACAATTTTCAAATACATAACAAGTCAACAGTAGAATCACGCCAACAGTCGCTACCTTCTAGTTTCCCACACTATTTGTAAGCACACAATCAACTAAGCGCTTTAGGCTAGACAAACACATAAGACACTTACCATTATAACGCTATCGATTCTTAATTATAAAGTATGTACCAATAAATAATGAGTGAAAAAAAGGCAATGGAATTGGCTACAAAATAGTGCAGTAACATGACTGTTGCAGGAAAGCCTTATCAATAAATAGTTGTCGAAGATCTATCTAATGTTTTTCTCAGCATCACTTGCCACAAAAAGCCAGTCAACGAGGCTGTGAATATAAACTGAAGCTAATATTCAGCACCTTGACTTACCAGTGAAATTCGAATTGAAATACGATTGTAGTAATGATGGATAGTGGCTGGTAGTGGAATCCAGGATGTGCATTTCGTCCTATTTTGGACTCGTTGGGTGGATGTACCTGCCTCCCAATGAGGGATGTTGTTCCCACCGGGATTCAAGCTCGAGACCGATCGCTTCAAACGTCAGAGCGTCATCCATTACACCACCGAGCCACTATAGCCACTTCTTGTGCGACGGGTATAGTTTTAGTATAATTGCTTGCATTATACCGTCGTTGATTGGATGAGTCCTAAGTAGGACGAAATGCGCATCCTGGATTCCTTTCTGCTAGCCACTATACATCGTCACTATACATAATTAAAACACAGGCAATATCGAGGCATCCGCACAGGAGCTCATATGCTAATAGAAACCAATTGCTTCGGTCCAGTCAACGACGGTATAACACAAGCAATCATAGTGAAATATGATTATGTTTAAAAAAGACAATGATGGACACATCAATCCATGTTAATCATATTCATGAGTTCCTTTGCCCCTTGAATTAATCTGCTGAACTGCTTCTGATGATTGATGGTTCGTTTGACACCACATAGCAATATGTCTATGTTACTATTATCACAGTGTATACACCTGACTGAGAAAGTATAGATTTATTTATAATGTCAGTTACCGAATCAATGATAAGTATCAGGCTAATCAACCCACAAGTTATCTGAAAACAGGTCATAGGTAAATGTACTTGCTAAAAATTCTAAAACGTTGGTCAAACATCAACTTATTACACTTAGAATCATAGCAGTTACTTTTTCCAGTGTTTCAATTTTTGTGTGTAAGCTGTCTTCAAGTTTACTGGGGGAAAATCTTCACCCTTAGTAACCTCAAAATATCGTTACGGTCGCAGAAAGACACATTAATACAGATGAAAGGCTGAAGAATATAAGAAACATTAGCGTAAGAGGCAATGCGATAGTGTATACACAGTACCATATTAGATTGTTAATTCGATATAGTAAACAGTGATGTAGTATTATTTACTAAATGACGCTTCGAGTAGGATTTATTGCTCATATTCTTATCAAAGTAATCATACGACTTCAAACTTCCTCTATATAGTCCTACAGTTTATTCATTTATTTTATTGGTAGTAAGATTTTTCAAATATCTGCAATATGTAATGAGTCATCCTGTCGTGTGTTAGGCGCTGGTTGATTCAATGAACAAAGATTCTGTGATTATTTTCTCCCTCCACCTAGCTATGTTAAATTTTAGGATTGTCACTTCACTCCACAGTGTGTGCAGAGCGATAACCGAATTTTTCTCTAAATTACTTGTCTTAATGGATCTACCATTGTATGTTTCGTTAAAGTTTTGTGCTCCGCTATTCTGACTGACCTCGATCAGCTGCGTTCATCCATATACTTGACCTCAAAACCATTATACGGTATTTGTTAGATTACGTTATTTTTCATAATTGGCTTTACAAAGTTTCTCTCTGAGTGAGTTTGTGGGTTTAAATGTCATTCTAATTTCAGGATTGTTAAGAATTCTACGTGAATATGAGCTACACATTCCGCTTGAAACGTTATCCAGTAAGTAATACTGTGTGCGATATCAAATAAACAATCTAATATGCAACTTTAAAATGTCTTCACGACAGCAGAAGTACACGTTAATACAACTGAAAAAAGATATTTCTTCTGTCTTTTAATTAGGGATCCCATATTTTTTTTAACCATTTTAAAATGACCAGCAAGTTTTTATATAAAAAACAATAAACATAACAATATGACAGGTTTCGTTTACAAACTATAAACCATATCTGCCATTAATATCGTTAGAACATTTTTTAACAGCCAAAATCATATTACAAGGAAGTGAACTTGGTTCTGTTAACCACATTCTCTTGAACCAAATATACACATCATACTGATAATTGGAATAAAGACAACTACTTGGAAAGTTGTGTACTAAAAATTTAAATAAAAACTTACTTCATGTAATGGATAAGCAGCTAGAAATATTCCATCAGAAATCAATTTAGTAATCCCTAGATTTTTTGCAGCTATTGCATAACACGCGTTAGCGGTATTCGAACATCCTCCAGATTCATCCTCTTGGTTAGTACTGATCATAGCATCACCTATTTTCGTGCATTAAACAAATGTAGAAACAGTAGAAAAACAAAAAACTTGTGTGAACGGTCAAATAGATAAGAAAATCTTGTTCCTTGAGAAGCTGATGACTACATATTTTATAGAGATAAATGAAACTGATATGAGTTAAATCGTGTGTTTGAACTTTCACCTGTAAAATATGTAACTTCGACCCTGTCACACGATTCTGACATTTTGCGTATCAATATCGAATGACCTACTATGCTTTATCAAGCTTAAGTATCACCCACTGGTTGAAAGGTAAGACAACTTTTCAGCTTTCCTTTATTCTTCTTTCTCCGTATAGCAGGATACAAAGACTAACGGTTTCTTACCCTTGTATCCTGAGCTATCTGCGTAGTATACGTAAATTATATGGCTAGGATGCACCATAATTCAAAGTGAAATAAGCATTAATGTACAAAATTTGACTGGCTCTAAAGGTCCCCCTAACAACGACAGAAATAGCCAATCAAATTTCTCTATTTCGGCTAGAAAGGCAAATTTCCATAAAACCAATAGGTTTAGTTAGTTATCTCATTTGTTGTTAGGTTGGCGTTTAAAGTCTTTCCAAAAACTGGAGTAACGCACGATAATCAGTTTTATTAAACATACTTTATTTTTCTCAACCATATGTCGTGTGGAACTGAGTGAGGAAACAATAAAAAGTTCTTGAGCTAATCTATACAACAATAATATAAAATGAGTATCAGTCTTACTTAAAGTATCTCAAAAAGTAAATAAATAATACCGCCGATAAAGACTATCAGCGATTATTATTTTCATTTCTTCCATCCATTATAAAAAAGAGACGAAACAGAACTTTGATTGCACATGAATTAAGGGTCAGCACTCCGGCAAATGAGTTATGAGATAGGCCACATTTGCTAAAAAATGAAGCACACTTATTGTATGACAGCCTATGATACTATCCAGTTGCCCAGGCCAAAATAGATGAAGTAGCAGAACATGAGTTAAACAGCTGCATGAAAGGTCGTTTGCTTTCATATATTTGTACGATAGTGTGTTTCTGCTGAAACGTATTCAATAATCTGTCCAAACACAGACCAGATAAGAATTCTATGTTTTATTTTATTACGGTGATAATACAGTGATGCAATTCAGTCTGGTTATTTTTGATGCTATGAGCCACACTCGCTGTGTGGAGACTTATGATACAACCAGATAGCAAGACTAAAACAGATAAACTAGGGGTTCACGTCCATCACCTGTTGCTTGAAAACTGAGCCCCTAAGCCGATGAGCACATTTGTGTATTACCCAATGTTTCATATAGGAAACTACGTAGATTATTATATGGCTGCAAAATAGAGGATGGCAATCATTCCAAGTGTACTGAAACAAAGCCTCGTTGGAAGAAAAAAAGCACAAACCAATTCAAAGCACGTTTTTAAATTCTGAACAGGAAGGGTATCATTTACTCAAAAAAATAGAGAATGATAGTGTTAAGTTTGGCACTCACACTGAGTTACATACATTGATTCTGAAAAGTACCACAGAGTTAAAAGGGACAGATAAACACGATAGCACTTAGTTTCGACTCAAATGTATCTAAAAATGCTTCAAGCAACTAAGATGCAGCATGATATGGCATGGATCCTGTTCAAAAAGTCATTATGCTCAAATAGATTCTAACAAACGCAAATTTATTGAGTTTACACAACAATTTTCTAATGAATAATTTCACGGTACATTTTAATCCAACGAATTGAAGATATACACTATATCAATGAGTACAACACAAGCTGAGCCAAAACATATATGTAATGTTATTCAAAAGCTTGTTAGAGTGCAAATATATCAACAACATATCCATGACAGGAATGAAGAAGAGCTTACTTCGGGTGCGCAATCTTTTTAATTCTTCTTTCAAAGTTTGAAAATACGATAGCAACCGGTAGCAGAATATGTCGATGATTGCCCCATACATTTCTTACATTGTTCATAAAGACGGACACTGTAATAATGCCACTCTAGGTCCATGGAACACTTTAATTCCATTATAACTAACTGGACTGATGAAAAGACCCTAGAAGATTCGGATTTCGCCCATGACTTATGACTAATGATGCACAGCTCGAAGATCTACGGGCAAAACCAACAAGTTGGCAGAAGAGGTGAGGCGGCGAAGACAGGGCTTCCTTCAAGTGAACGTAGAGAAGACTGAGGTGATAAAGATACCCAACCAATAACAAGCACCAATCACCATCAACGAAGGAAATCTAAGGGAAGTTGTCTCTTTCACCTATCTAAGCAGCATCATTTTAACTACAGGTGGCACAGATGAGGACGTCAAAGTCACGATCGGAAAAACAACAAGACAGGTCTTCATTGGTCTGAAATCAGTGTGAAGATCTACTGCACTCAGCATATGAAACAAGATTCAGATTTTCAGCACTAATGTCAAGTCAGTGCTTCCGCGTGATGGTTTAGAGATTTAACACCTTACGAAAAGCATTTTCAACAAACTGCAGACATACATTAACAGCTGCCGTCTACGCTCACTCCATAATGAAGATCAGATGACCAGAAAGAATAAGCAACAAGGAACTCTGGCTGGCTGGCAACGAACCACAAGAAACCTATCGTCCAACAAATATGCAGAATAAAGTGGAGATGGATTGGATTGAGAAGATTATCTGAGGACATCACGCGCCAGGCTATACCCTCAAGTGGAACTCAAATGGGAAATGACAAGTCGGGCGTCCGAAGGTGAGATGGAGGAAATCGTGTGGGAAGGAATGAAAGTTTATGGGCAGTTGTGGAGCCAGGTTAAGAAGACTGCAGAGAACAGAGTGAAATGGCGACGTGGTTCTGGGCCCTATGTTCCACTAGGAACCCAAAGGATGAATAAAAAATAATAGTGACTTACTGAACTATGTGATCATATTTTGAAATACAGTTTAGATTCCTACTTTAAAAACAATATGACTGAGTTCTAACAGTTGCTTGAATTTTCTCTTGAACTTCTGCCCCATTAGATATTTCGTTGTCAAATAAACAGTGAAAACGTTAAAGTGACGTTAAAACTCTTAGTACATAAGGCGTTTTCTTTAATACTTCACTACCTATTCAGTTACATTCGAAGACTGTCTCACAAATAACAAACGTCTAACTAAAAGTGATTCGGATGGTAAAAAGGTATGCTAGTGCTATTACTGATAAAAGCAAACTGAGTTTCAGTAGTCAAAACAAACATGTTGTATGATATCAAAATGAACCTGGAATTCAAAGGCGACACTGAAGTTGAAACCCTTAAACATCGTTTCTCAAGATCTTCGAAAAAGATATTTCCTGTAGTTAGCCTAAGAATTGCATTTTCTAGCAGACAGTGAGTTCATCAATGCGTTAAAGGATAGAATACTACTGTGACCACTTCAATGTGCATTATATGCTTATTTGTTCTTGTAGAGTAACTTACATTGGCCATACACAGCGTCAAGTCCATAAAATTACTTCGGAACATTGTTCAAACTGCTTATCCACAATTCCAAAGCCCTTCGACTTTGTCAGATCATTGGTAATTCACAACCTCAAACCTGATCATTGTGTTCAAAAACATTACTTGGATTCATTGACCATGCATTGGCCAACGTAGTAATTTTCTTCTGTCTTTAGTAACTTTTTATTCTACTCTTGAACATAATAGTAATCACATGTATCAACTGATTAACAAGAGACTGATATTTGTTTCCAATGTTTTTATATAAGATGGCACAGCTTCAGTAAATGAAATCGTAGAAAAGAAAACTTCCTTCACTGTTGCATCTTTATTTTCATACAAAAATATAAATATCTTTGAGTGGTGTAATCTGTTTACTGTGAAGAGCTGAAATTCATTTTCCCGCTGGTGAAAAGGTGGCTACAATTAACGGTAAAGACTAAGGCTGAATCTTTTATTTTTCAACTTCGAAAATACAGGTAATGCAAACAAGTACTGTTCAATGCAGTCTTTTATGCTAAACTATTCAGGTGAGACTAATTGAATGATAAAATTAAACTGGTAAGCAAATGAAAACCAAAGCTGCACTATATTGTAATCTGCTTGGTGACTAGCGATAGGATCCAGAACGCGCGTTTCGTCCTATTCGAGACTCGTCAGCTGGATGCCTCTGTCCCCACTGGGACTCGAACTCAGTATCCATGGCTTTAAACGCTGAAGCGTAACCCACTAAGCCAGCGGAGCAAGAAAGCCATAGCTTGTGTAATGGATATCAGTTGTCTACCATTGATACTTGTATTTTCCTGGGTCGAATTTCTCGACCTCTGTATCAACAAATAAAGCTACACCAAAATTTGACCTCATAAGTCGAGCATTCGGGAAAATAGATCATAAATGAAATACATTTGTAAAACCCAATAAGATAGAAAGATTGTAAACACCTGACGTTTCGATATCTCATGGAAGTTGCTTTTTCAGAGAATAAAACTTGTGCAAGTTATCGCATATTTAAATAGTAAATGATAAGAAATCAGATCACTTTGTTTACAAATGATAATATTAAGGAAATTACTATCACTGTCATTAGTGCTTAGTCCATGAGTTGACGGTGAAGATGGTGGATGTATCTGCACGTGTGATCAGATGTGAAAGTATAAGAAAAAATACTATGGATGAAAAATTCAGTTTGTTCGTGCGCAGATACTTTAGTTCGTCACGAATGAAAGCGACAGACCAACTGAAGTAAGAAAAAATGTTACTACCTGAGAATATCGTGCAAAAGATTAGAATCTATGACCAAAAGAATCCAAGAGGAAAATCGAATGATGGGTCAGTAGTTCTATCGTTCCGCCAAGATACAAGTGAAGCGCTACAAAGAATTTGAAGAAAGCAGCGAATTAGAGCCTTCTATAAGACGGACACAAAGATGGATAGCTGAAGCATTTCATATTATTGTAATGATACTTGCAATTTCCCGTTGGTAAACAGGGCCGACACCCATTGCACACCCTTTGCACAAGAGGTGGCTATCGTGCCCCAGTGGCTTAGTGGATAACGCTCTGGCGTTTGAAGCGGAAGGTACTGGATTTGAGTCCCGCTGGGAACAACGACACTCACTGGGGTGGAGGTACATCCAACTGATGAATCCCAAATAAAACGAAGCGCGCACCCTGAATTCTTCTGCTAGTTACCAAGATCAATATAACCTTTCATATTCTGTTGAATTCTTACGCAGTCAACAGAAAGGAAGGTCTAACTATCCAACAAACTTGGCCAGTATATCCAAAATAATACGTTACACATACTAGTTATAACTGAAGTAAATACAAACAAACCGAATTTTTTATCGATAGTATTTTTCTCACGCCTTAACACACATCATCTTGAACTCAGGGACTAAAAACTGATAAAGAGGATATTTATTCCCATATTGTTATGATGTATGAACAACGTGTTCTAATTTGTCGTCATTTACCACTTAAATATGAGATAACTTGCACAGGTTTGATTCTATGGAGAAGCGACGACTTACACGAGATATCGAAACGTCAGAAATTTACTATTTTTCTACCACATTGAGATTTTACAAATATATTTCATTCATAAAGCTACACTAGTTAAAAAATATGCTACACTCACTAAAAAGTTGATCATAACTTCATACTTTGTTATAGATAATATCTTTCTATTGCATTTTCAAACTCTAAAAATCACTATAAGCTTAAACAAAGAGCTTACTAGCACTTGGATTATATAATTCATCTGTATTCACTAAATCCTCTGATCGATAGCCTGTTCGACGAAGAATATAATCCAAAACAAGAGCTCGTTCAACTGGAGTGAAAAATTCATCTCTATTTTCTGGTATATCAAATCTGTGATAAAATGTAATAAAAGACAGAAAATGTACAGCTATTTATATATGGATGAATATTTAACGACTGTGGAATTGATACGAATAGTTAGTGCCATATTTCTAGGCTAAGCAAAATGCAATAACATATGGTAATATCTATAATAATTAGCATTTTCACAGTTCAGTTTTGGCAGATAATCAAAGGTGTCTTATTAGGACGTTTAGATGACCCTAACTTTCTATAATGGTTCAAGGAGTGGTATTCATCAAAGGTGATCAAACAACAGGGAATTATCATCACTCCCATTGGCTGGCATTTATTGAAATTCATTGCTTCTTAATGGTGAATGTGAAATAGATTAATTTATCCTCCACAGAAATGTTCTTCAACATGATCTTGGAACTGTGATTATAACCCCAAGTTAGGCTAGATAAATGTTCTTCAACAAACGCAACAAGATTTCGAGAACCTAATCTCCATTCCGTTGCGCCGTTTGTCAGACTGTATCTATCCATGTCATTAGTATTTTAAAAGAGAGTTGTCGGACAACATTTTCAATAGATGCATAATCCACCTCAGTCAAAGTATTTCCAGTGATAACAACTTTTCTCACCATCTTTCTTAAATTAACAACATCAGTATACCTATGGTTTCACTACTCACAATGAATTTTCAACAATATCATGGAGCGGCCAAGCGTAAAACATCTTTAAGATGATAATGCCCTGTGGAACCCTGCATCCCTCAGTAGCAACTCGTAATTTTCAATTATATTTCTAGCTTCATCAGTGCTGTAACGAGTGTAGTCCGTGATGCGTAGCAAAATATCTGCTTTGAAGATGTTTATAAGTTTCCACAACTATATTCCTGTAGCATAATGCCTAAATTATCTCAAGCTCAGGAAATATTAATAGGTTTCAGTAGAAGTGTTCACAATCAATTGGTACTGTCAAGGTGTCATTTAGTAATTTTAATCCAATGCTTAAACCAGTGAGAAAAATGACCTTTATGTGACTATAAACTAAAACGGAATTCACTTGCAAGTTGGTGATGAGCGTGGTTTACTAGTTTTCAAAAAGTTATGCAATTTGGAAAAAGGTGGGTTGAACGAAGAAATATCCTTTTTCAACTAACTCTTCATCAACAGCTATATATATATATATATATATATATATATATATATATATATATATATATATATATATATATATATATATATATATTGCATCAAATGTATTGTCTAGGTATCACCGTCTAACCGCAGTGGGAGGCGCGAAGGACTGAAGTATGGAACAACTCAGGCTGAGCAGTCGATGTCATTCTAGCTAAGGAGTTACGGGTAGATATCTGGGAATTTGTGCCCTTCTACGTTAGTAGGAGTCCATGACCCGTCGTGAATATCAATCAAAAAAGGTCAATGATCTCAGCAACCTTGTACATATTAGTGCAGTTAGGCAATGAGCCACACCTGTTGTGTGGGGGTAATGCTACTACCTGGTTGTCTGAGCCTTCATAAGTGGAGCGGTGCTTGAACCTGTGAGCCATTGGTTGAAATTCGATTGCCTAACCCAATGAATTACACCGTCATTTTCATCCATATCCGGCTAATTAGAAGCCGTCCATACCATCGGTGACGCTTAGTCAACTTGGAAAACTGGGTAAGACCTAGAAACCAAAGTAGCATATATATATATATATATATATATATATATATATATATATATATATATATATATATATATCTTACAAGTATTGCCTATTCATTGAAAATGGCCAAGTATAACACGAGCGGATCGGTTTGATGATATCTTCATCAATTTGTAAGCAATTGAAACAGTCTTTTGAAAGAGAAGGTTTGGATTTTGGGCATTCGAACTGAAAAAAAAAAGCGTTGAAACAACAAAATAAAGGAAGATTAAGTGTGAATAGGTTGTGGGAAAAAATTAACTCCTGCTTTAAATTATTCATTAAAAGAAGTCAATGTATATTGAGACAAAACAACAAAACTGTAATCACGTTTCGATGATATGCTGTAGTGATCATATCCCTCAAAAACAGACACATTGTTGTTGACAGCAATTTTTCAGGTTCATAAGAATGGCAAGCCAAAGACATTGAATGGTTATACAATACACTCCGGTAATAAAGAAAGCTATCCATTTTGAGGATATGTGAAGGCTAAAACCTTTTCAACATTTTCAAGAGTGGTTCAAGCTTGTTCGAAGCATATTTCGACACAGTGAACAAGTATCACTTCAAAGTTGTCTTGCCAAAAGTCTATTAGGGTTACATTAAAGTTGATCCTTAAGCTGTAATTAAGAAAACTATCTGAAAATATTAAAGAAAGCAGTTAGAAATAGTTTGATGGTTATTGCTATAATAATGCGATTTGTAGTCCGTAAAGCTTTAATGTGTGGGAATTCGGCTGAGAATACTTTAGGGAATTATTTTTTTTTACTTTTGAAGACTATTTACTCAGAAGTTATTGTACGGTAATTTTTTGTAGCCATTGTTATAAGCTTTCTAGAGACCCTTCAGTTAGTGTTTTATGATGTTTATTTGATAAGTTATTGTCAATTTGCTGTAAACAGTATACATCATTTTGCATCCTAAATCTGTGTTGTGTATTTGTGATTTAACTTTCTATTCTTCTGCATGAACGCCTTATCTGCAAATCGAATCGAGCAGGAAAAAGGACTTTTAGTTATAGGATGGCAAATATCTCATCTTGGATTCAGTGGATGACTGACTTATTGGCATATGAGTAAAGCGTAGGCCAGTGAACGATACTTGGATAGTGAAGCGTGTATGAGGTCATAATCACGTGACAGAGTCAGGATGAGTGACTTTAAAGGCCACCCTAACAACCATTGAAATAACCAATTAGATTTCTTTATTTTATCAAGGAAACCAACTTCTTAAGAAAAATATCGAGACCTGATTGGTTATTTCAGTAGTTAGTAGGGTTGTCTTTAAAATCATTCGTCAAGATTATAGTTTGCAGGTATTAGATCAAGAAAGTGATCCAAACTTGAACACTATTAGTCACAACTCGCAGTTATAATCGATAAAAAGAACGATAAAGTAATATTATAAACTTCATGATCCGAATGTGAGCTGATAGAGTTGAGCATTGAGTGAATGGATTATCAATGAAGTATATTTGTAGTCCACATGAGGTAGAAAAACGAATTCCTGACGTTTTGTATTGTTCTACCTCATGGAGATTTTACAAATGTATGTCATATACTTATATCAAATTTGATCAAGATTTGATCGTATGGTATGGCAAACATTGGGCGCTGAGTAAAAGGTTGACATTAGATATAGATTGTATTTGTGTAAGTCGCAGCGGGTTTGAAATCAAATAATTCCCACGTTTCGCACCGAAGCCTGGTCCGAGCTTCTTCAGGGAAGACTCCAGTGTGAAACGTTGGAATTATTTGATTTCAAACCAGCTGTGACTTACACAAATACAATCTATATCTAATGTCACATTTCATACATTTTAGGTTGGAATTCATCATGGACTGAAATGATTTGGAGAAACATTGGATACCTGGGAGCACCGGACAGCTGTTTCGTCCTGGTATGGGACTCCTCGATGGTGCGCACCCACGACCCCGTTAGGGATCGAACCTAGGTCCTTCAATCTCTGAGACCAGCATGTCACCGCTGGACCACTGGGTCAAAATCCAATGGTCAATATCCCCGACTTCTGTCAGTTCACGATAAGCGCCACCCCTAACCAATGTCGTCATTGAGCAACTGTCCTCATGTTCGACTTGGTTGACTCCACTGGTCACGACTTTTCATTGGAATTTCGGGAATCACCTTAATGGTAACATGCTGGACACGAAATCCGAAGGTGCTGGGTTCGATCCCTGGTGGGGTGGGGTCATGGGTGCTCAGTGCTGAGGAGTCGCATACCAGAACGAAACAGTCGTCCAGTCCTGATGTCATTCCATGATAAATTCCAACTTAGAATCAATTATTAAACCTCCACAAACCTTCAAATAATTCATATATAATAGAATCTGAGAGATTTCGATATATTATCTTTAGTGAGAGTGCTGATTGGATAATGGAACCATACTTCAATGTGTTAGAAAATTGTCTGTTACATTGTATTCAGAGAAAAATGAAAACTTGGTACATAACTTGTTAGCTCATTTTTCTCAATAAACTATTCAATAAAACATTTTTCTAAAAATTGTTAGCAATGCCTATTGATATTGAAAAAGAGTTCAGAGGTGAGAAAACCATCTGTAAGAACTTTTTAATCATAAACGTTTAAGGGTTCTGAAGGAAAAGATTTCACCAAGTTTATTATTTCAAACTTTTCATACAAACTGAAGAATGAATCTGAAGCCTATCCTAGCAACCAACCGCTTAGGTAGTCAATTATGTCTCTTTATTTTTTTAAAAAGCTACCTTTCTGTAAGGGATACAGAAAACTGACTGGTTATTTCAGCAGTTGCCAGGTTGTCCTTTAAAGTTGCTCAAAAAGAACCGGTGCCACTGTAGTAAACAAGTGTTTTAAGTAACAAAAACATTAGTAGACATAAGTTTAATTCTCATCACTCATTTGTGAGACATTGGTATATATATATATATATATATATATATATATATATATATATATATATATATACATGCAAAGTAAAAGATATCACAAGAATCAGGAAGGTGCACTGTACTCAAACTTTTGATTAAATGTAGTCTACAACCTGGCAGGGGAGAGTGCAAGACCAGTCGTCAATCAATAACTCAAAACACCATAACTGACTAATTACAGCATTCAGAATAGTAAACGAAGAGGATATACCAAGCTTGAGAAAAAAATCACCACTACCAAGTAAAATATGTTTGTTGTTATACACATTAAAGTAAACGATTGACAATAGTTTACGACTGTGATAGCAGTTACTTTACCAACATTCACTTTCTTTAATACCATCATTCATTTCATCTCATCCCCTAAAAGTCTTAACTAATATATACCTGTAACATGATTGTATATGCACGTGAACTATGAAATAAATTTTAAAAAAGTCAACCAAACAGATTCGAGACATACATGAAATATCCTACTGAAGACTTGGCTGGCCAGTGATCTCTTTAGTGGACGGTTATTTCGTCTGCTTAAGGTATAGCTCAACAGCGGTGTGACAGGGCAAAGTCAACTTACACAGTTGCATATTTGCTTACAAGCGAATCAGTAGGGTTGAAAACTGGTGACTGCAGCTGAATAAACATCCACGCCTAAATCCAAATTGCGTTATTCCTTTATGAAGATGTATCAATGGCTATGTTCTTCTAGAGATTAAGAAACTAATCTACAACAGCAGCACACGGTATATTTAATTGATCCATACTTCTATACTTATTTAATGCAATGGGCAGTAAATCGAGTGTTTTTGATCAGTTTCTAGGATTTTACTATGGCATGATTCATCACTATAACTAGGACCGTCTGTAAAATTTAGTAGTACTGAAGTACTAATAACATTATCAGCGTAATACAAGATTAAAGAAACGGGTTCGGAAGCAAATCGAAGAACATTTAAACACGTTTTATAATTTACAATAATTATGGTATATTGTACTAATGCTACAAAAAACCTCAAACCAAGCTCTGAAGGATGTGATTAGTCTAGGCATATTCTACAGAAGATTGATATTAGATGAAAAGTCACTTGAAAACAGTAACCGATACTTGAAGGTTGTTTCATCACACATTCGAAACTAGTTTAAAGTGTACTTCAACTTGATAATGCAAAAATTTACTATGCACCAAAAAAAAAAACTCTGAATTCTTGGGTTAAATTTCAAGTGTAATAGTTGTGCACAGAAATTGAGTATGTTAGCTTCTTCAATTGTATGACTGGTTGGTTACATTATTTCTGATGAACCAATGCTTAAAACCATCTCTAAGTATTAATAAATAAAGTTCAATTCTATAGTATTTATGGATAATATCTAGCAGTGGAGTCTAAGACGTGAGCTTCGTCCTGTTTAGAACTCATCAGCTGAATATATGTCTCCCAATGGGCAATATTGTTCCCACTAAGAACATAAACCCAGGACTGATCGCTTCAAACATCAAAGCGTTAATACTTTTTAACTTGCAGCAAAAAGAGGATAATTTTAATATAACAAGGAAGCAGATATATGACTATTAAAACCTTTAGATTAGCAGCACTGAATGCGAAGTACTGAAGTTAACTACAGTATGAGTCTGTTTATGAATACAAATCCATTCTAACTATGAAATGATTTGGATATATATAAATACGCAAAATTTCAGTGATTCAAACCAATTTTATGCGCATTGATGTAGATATATTCACTCTTCATTATGTTCAAATTTTTGAACACTTCCATACATATTGAACAGAAATCTAGCAAACATCGGTACAAAGAAACATATCACAAATACATCGGAATTTGTATTTTGTAAATCAATTTTTATTGATTTATTCTCTCTTTCTATATACCTTCCCGATTCATTTCCACCCCTACATGATGTTGCAATCTCACAAACTGACCAAATTATTACATTATTATTATTATTATTATTATTATTAATATTTCAGGTTTTATATCAATTTGTCCCCAGCTAAAGCATACTCTCTTACACACAGCGTTAGCTGGAGCATTAATCGACAGAAACCTGAATGGTTGAGACATTAAATCTTCACTGTATGAGTTGTGAAGGAAAACAACAGGTTTTTTGGTTTCAGGTTACTTAAAATAGGTAACAGAAATTGATGCATAAGCACAAGTTGATGAAATGCTTCAAAATTAATATCACAAATGAAGATTCATTGCTCATGATTCATTCTCCACTTAATATGCATGCATATATATATATATATATATATATATATATATATACGCAAGCATATAAATAATTAGTAGCCAGACAAAAACATTTTCCACAGAAAGCAAAATATACATGCGCGATTATATATAGAACCCAATGCGTGTAGAACACTTACTTTCAAACCATAGGCTAGCTAAAACATTTGTGTATACAATTATAAGAGAGAAAAAATGAGATAGTCATCATGATTACTCCAATAATAGGAAATAAAAGTAAGGTAGCCATAGAGTATTTGATGAGGAAAAAAGGGAATAATAGTAATTTAACATTTTTCAATGCATAAACATACATATGCTGCTTACGTACACACACACACTTTCGTGGACTTCTAAAAGGAAAATCCCAGAATACACCTTTCATTCTTAGTTAAATTCCGCTAGTGGAAATGGCTATAACCTCAGTGATTGTTAGAGTTCGTATTGGAGTCAAGCCTACGATCAGCCATTCCTTTAAATATCAAAGTGGAGTCGCCTAGAAAATAAGTCAGTCATGGTGCAGCAAGTAATAAAACCAAGCAAAGCTTATTTCTCTTCAATGTACCGACATACATTCAAAAATAGATACATAAGTTCTACTGACACAATTACTGCCCTGTGTAAATTTTTGCAAAGCAAAAACAAAAAACACTGTAGGATGAATCGAATTCATTTCGTGTGCTCTAAATCCTCCACCTACGCATTAAATTTAAAATTGTGTACAGAAAGCCAGAGTAACTTTAAAGGCCACCATAGCAACAAATGAAATGACCAAACAGAGTCCTCTATTTTATGAAAATCTGCTTCTCCAGTCGAAATGAAGGAACTTAATCGGCTATTTCGATCGTTGATAGGGTGGCCTTTAAAATCGTCAGTGTTCGTCATAAGTCACTTTATACATTTCAGTAGTAAACTCAACACCGAATATATCTTTCACATCTATACATCAATACACATACAATACAAGAACAGAAATGAGTGACAAAATTCACTATGTAAACAGCCAATACAGGGAACAAGTCAGACCATAAAACCGATCAGTAAATAAGAAGAAAAGCACGACGTGATAGTAGGATATGAATGTGGTTACAGCTCAAGGTAGTAGGAATTCTGATGGAAGGGGAAGAACAACAAAGATGGTGTGCAAAGTGTATGAATTAATGGTAGACGAATGGAAAAGGATGTGCTTATAAACATGATTAAGATATAATGGATCAAAGTAAACCAAAAATGAAAGGAATATGAATAATGTTTGAGATAATAAGATGAAAGAATAAAGTAGCAAATAAAGCAGTAAGAAAAGAACAACTCACCAAAGCAATGCAAGGTGAACCACTAACTCCTTTTATATAAATAAGTTTGGTTTCATTTGGCGAATTGCGGCTGCTGCTTCTGCATAACATAGCAACCTACTATTTCTTTGTCTATTCACTACCTTAAAAGCTATGTTAGAGTCAACGGTATGGCCTGTATCTAGGATATGCTTCCCAATAGTGCTAGTTGGTAGCGTTTCACCTCTTAATGACAGCCTTTTCGGAACATGTTCGGAGATTCGTTTGGTAAGGACCCTCTCCGTCCTTCCGACAGACATTCTACTGCAAGTACAGGTGAATCAATAAATACAATTGGAAGTAAAATAAAGAGGTTTCACACCTAAATTAGTTTTTCTGATCACATTCTTCGTGTCATAGGCAACCGTTAATTTCATAGATCGATAAGTTAGTATGATGCAGCCATTCAGTCGGCGATTATTTTGTGAACTCAATTCACCGCTTTTGAATGGTAGTCGTATTCAGCTTTGTGTTTACTGATCGATTTTATAGTCTGACTTGTTGTGACTTGCTCCCTGTATTGGCTGTTTAGATAGTGAACTTTGTCATTCAACTCTATCTCCATATTATGTATGTAATGACGTCCAGATGTGAAAGGCATATTCGGTGTTGAGTTTACTACTGAAATGTATCAACTGACTTATACCGGGCACTGATAGCTGTCTGTACGAAATTTTAAATTTAGTATGTGAAAGATTTAGAGAACACGGAATGAATTCGATTCATCCCATAATGTTTGTTACTCTTGCTCTGTTAAACAGTAAAATACATATCCTGTATTATACAGTGCCAACTGCCAGCAAAATACTATTACAGAAAAATCAGTTGTACTACTAAAGCATCCGCACATAAAGATCTTTAGAAACAAGAGATGAAACTAGGCAATTCCGTAAACTAAAAAGCAAACCAATTATTTTGTACATCATTTTTAGCTAGAATCGAAAAAAAGCTTCTGCAAAAAAAAGAAAGAAATAAGCACTGTTCCAGTTGCTATGATCGAATAATGAAGTATGTTTTCCATCCATCAGTGTTCACATCTATACATAAGTTGAAGTGTGGTAATCTAGTGGATAACAATAATACTTTGAAAAATATCGATGCTATAGGTTTCCATTTCCATGGTAATGCTTTGTATTATCCAAACTCCAGTCGGTAAGTGCGTAGGTAGAGATTAAAAATAAGCATTTGCAAGTCTCACTGTTCTGTTTAGCCCTTACAGACTCATTCAATTAGACAGACGGCTGTTGACTGGTATCCAGCCGAGTAGTGCACTCTGTTCGAGAACTTAATGCTATACCTGTAACAGCAGTATAACAGCACATAATCCTTATTTCAATCATCAAGCTGAGTTTCAGTATTCTCTCATTCTTCCTTATTTCTTTTGGTGATTTTCTTCTCACTTTAACTGTTTTCTCTATTCATTCATCTTTCGTCTCAGTGCATTCGCGCTTGATGTGCTGGTATGAAATGGCAACTAGGAATCGCTACGGAGTAATGTTAGTGTCTGTCTGTAGGACATTCAGTCGAACATCACACAGATGGTTTTTGACTGGTATCCAGTCGAGAAGTACACTCTGCTAGAGAACTTAATGGTATACCTGTTGCCAGAGAGCCTATAAGAGCTAGTCACTGAAGTTCTTAACACTGGTAAATTGGATTTGGAAGATTCATTTCAATGGACAGGTTAGGTCAAGCGAGACAAAGCATACATCCAGGGTTGGAGATTCCAGAGTTCTGACGAGGGATGATTGTTATCCGATTGAGCATAGAGTTCGGACATTGAAAACACCAATATGAAATCGATGGTTGGGTCGGTGACAATAATAATCCATTCGAATTCAGCACACTATTAAATGATGAAGGAGAGTCATGCATATTCCAAATTCGATTATATTCAACAATTAGATAAAATCAAGTAAACTCTTTTGAAATTTGTATTTTATGCGAAAGAAAATGAATACAAAATAACAAAATAAACACTTGATCAGTTTTATTATTCCTGATGTACTCAACTAAATGTGTTAGTTTGTAAACATCAGAAATCACTTGTTACAATAAGAAGTATACAGTTCTGGATGATGATGAATTCGAAATTAATCAAGCTAGATAACATTGATTATGTCAATTTTATGGCTCAAAATCAAGACCAAAATCATATTTTATGCTTTTACTACAAAAGTTCTATTCCTCTTAACATAAAAGTAGCTGTTTTACGCCTTTACTTACCTCAAAAACATTGCTAGACTATAAAGATAAGTGCTTACAATTAATGCGGACTTCTAATATAAAGTCTGAGAAGTAAATAAGGATTGAGTAAAAAACTGCGCTTGTTTGACACCAATAAATGTAATACTGAAAGAAAATTCCTATGTAGTGGTGACTGATTCGTGTAGGGCACTTGATTTCCAACCAATGCATAATGGGTTGAAACCCAGTCCCAGCAACCGAGGTTTAGTCAGCCAAGTAGTATTAGTAATCTTCACATCACATACGTGGCTTACTGCCTACTGAACAAAGGTGCTTAATATTACTGAGTGGATTTTCATTTCCATGATAAAAATGAAATTTCAGTTCTAGTTTATTTTATGTAAAAAATAAATACAATAATAAAAGACACAAAAATCTCAAAAACAATAAAAAAAATCATAAACTTATTCAAACTGAAAGTAGTTGATTTTCAAACTTAGTATTGAATAAGAATACCAAACAACTGTACACTTTTACCTCTAATTTGTGTATACCCAACGGTAAGCAAACTCCACCCTATTTGAAATTTACACCTTGAGCCTCAGTTATTTCAGTAATTAGATTACTAGTGAACTATTAAGAAAGACGGGATTCAGTGAACAAATATGTCTTCAGCGTTACCATTCACAAAACCTGTACAATCCCATTTAAATGTAATTAGTATGTACATTTAATGATAAAAGTTGTCAACATAATTTGCCAACAGATAGACAGAAAAATAAAATCAATATAGAACTTAATGCAAACGTGTATCGGTTCAAGTACGCAAAGAAAAACTCGGTAGAAAAAGAGTGGTATCGAATTAGACAAAGAGGAAAAAAGATTTGACAATCAATTTTTACTGAAAATGCTAAAGCTATAGATGTCAAGGAGCGGTTACATCTGCACCATTATGACCGATCTCTAACCATGTTAACAAACGTCTGCAACCACTAATTCCCATCTTGTTGAGGACCCCCACCAAGAAATCTACAACTCCCTACATGACTCTAACCAACTGTTACAGAGTCCATGGTACCATGTCATGAGCTGGTTACTCTGAGACTTCACTCAATCTAATCTTACTTCAGCTAACATTCAATAAATGACAGGTAATCGGTCAGCATGAGCAATATATGTCAAAGCCACCTAAGTTTACGAACGGTCATAACCTCAAAGATTGACTGTCTTGTATAATACCCTTCGTTTTACACTGACATTGTTCACGCAGTAATATCACCAATAGTGACCAATGCTACAAAAGAACCTATTTTCGAAAACCTGCGATCTCTTCACGTCCCCTACTTTCAACGGCCTCATGACAGAACAGGGCCGACTCCAGTGGAGTATACCCGACACTCAATAGGTAGTCGGATGTCTCGTCGGTGCCAGAGAAGACGCAAGATTGCAAATGCTAAGCGGATATTTTGTATTCGAGCTGAGATTTCACTAGCAAGCAACTATTTTGCGCTGATGCAACTTGCTAGGTAAGTAAAGTGGTCGACGCTTTCAAACACTTTCCTTAAGAAGCTTAAATAATAGATGGATATTACCAAGTGCAGATGCATTCCTTCCCCATCTCTCTCATTTTCGTCACCCACTACTAAGGAAACTCTGAGTCAATTCACTTTTGATCTGCTTTCATTCCTCATTATGGTCAGACCCTGTTAGAATGAGTATTCTTGCATCAATCAGTTCAGATGAGGTTGTGAAAATCTACTAGCTTTTGAGAATTTATGTGTGTAGTTTACCAACAGATGGGACTTGTATGTATGTTTTCAGAAACGCAGCATTTATCCAGTGCTCGAGATTCCTGAGCTTTGGCAAGGAACGCCAATCTGTCAAACAATATTTCTGAGCAGGTTGTGGTTAGTCAAGTAATATATAGAAGAGAGCTATGCACATCAAATAGCAGCTCTTATACGTATTTTATCAGTCTCCTGATGTTCACTGCATTCAAGTGCGCGCCTGCATACAAAACAGACAGTTTTTGAATTGTGAAGTAGCATTGAATAAAAATTTGAATGGACTCAGTAACCTTGTGCATATTCGTGCTGTAGGCAAAAAGTCGCACCCATCATATAAGTCCTTATGATGCTTGGTTGTGTTTTCTGAGCTGGTTCAATAACGTAACTTGGCTGCCCGAACCTCAGTTGGCGGGATGGTGTTCGAAATCGTGACCTATTGATTGGAATTCAATATCTGCCTAAGCCAATGGAGTCACAGCTCCACAAAATCGAATGATAACATGATCGAAAAAATTCTCATTACATACATGACCGGTAAACTCAAACGTATCATATAAAGAATAGTTAGAAACTTGCTTTCTGATGGGCTCTATTAGTTCAGCTAACTATTTAGTAAGTGAATGATAAGATGAGACGGATATGTCTAGGATTGGTTTTAATGGTTAGTAAGGTCTATGAGCTTTGAGTATTCCATATAGACCAGGAATATTAGATGGAAGCTTTAGTTTCTCATATGATTCAGAATTAATGACTGGATCACCTCGTTATTTAAACAATTTCAGTCAGGTGACATTCAATTGTCTCTCTTTGATTTTTTTCACTTCTTGATTTAGAGAACTTGCTTCATTTGAGGATTTTTTAACATCTCAACATAAGTTTCGTCGATCTTATTGATGGATAGTGGCTAGCAGTGGAATCCATGACGGACCTTTCGTCCCATTCAGAACTCGTCAGCTGGATTTACCTGCCTCTCAGAGTGATGTTCCCACTAAGACTCGAACGCAGGAATAGTCATTTTAGACCCCAGGGAGTTATCCACTAAGCGACTGAGTAAAAATAGCCACTTCTTGTACCACAGGAACAGAATAATCTTTGACGTTATAGCTTGTGAATTTCCATCGTTGATTGAACCGAATTGGTCGGCCACTAATAGCATATGGGTAGAGATCCACAAGTTATAACATCGAAGACTGTACTACGCCTACCGTACAAGGAGTGGCAGTTGTGGCCTAGTGGAAAATGCTCTGGTGTTTGAAGCGATAGGTCATGGTTTCCAACCTCACTGGAAACAACATCACTCACTGAGAAGCAGATAAAGCCAGTTGACGAGTTCCAAATGAGATGAAACGTGCGTCTTGGATTCTACTGCTAGCCACTATCCATCATAAGCGATTTTAAAGGCTACCCTAGCAACTGCTGAGATTACCAATTAGGCTTCTATATTTTATGAAAAACTACCTTACTATCTGGAATACCGAGACCTGATTGGTTACTACAGCAGTCGCCAGGGTGACCTTTAAACTCGCCTTATCATTAATACCAAATTTAAAAATACCCGCAATATTAAGGTGTCTGCGCAATATCCCATATGCTAATAGTGACCGATCAATTCGGTCAAATCGACGACAGACATTCACAGGCTATAGCATCAAAGACTAATTTTCCTTGTTTACTGGGGCTAATAACATTACTTTTATGTTGATGGGTTATAACATTTCGTTACAACACCTCAATTCCTTTAGTTGGCTGATATAATCCTTAGTCAAATGTCTAAGCTGCTCGTTTCTTGACAAAATGACAAAATTTCATTTAAATTAAAGCAGACTCTCCAAACTAATAAACGAAAATAGAACAAAGATCACTGAACGTCAACTGACTGAAATGGATAGTAAAAACTTCAAGCATTTGTAGACAGTTAGATAAGAAATACTTTCAGTAAACATTATGTGGTGCTTACTTGACGAAGCGGTTTTCGCATCTTCAGATATTCTGCATAATATATCATTGCCTCCCATGAAGCATGCAGCTTAACAAAAACTAGATTATCAGGTGTCAACAAAATTTCATCATCATCTAAAGCTTTGTGACGATAACGCTCCATTGAAGACGGTGGACTTGTATCTGTTGGTTTATCTGACTCTGTATAATTATTGGATGGCATATGATCTGAAGGTACTGGCGGCTGTTCTGTAAGTGGCGGTGCACTAACATCTACCTTTGGCATTACTGTTACTTGGATTGGCGAAGAGGAAGGATCTTCAGCTGAAACTGAAGTAGCTCCCAGCAGACGACCATTACAATCTTCCACCTATGGGAAAAATAATGAACGATACAAATGAACACATGTGGAACGAAAACTAGTTTAAATGGATTGCAGTTGACAAATAGATGAGTCTGAATGGTACTTTTTGACAGACAAATGAACTATTGCACCGGAATTATGTATATCTCCAGAGGTCAAACTAGATTGCGACCATGAAGACTGACAAGATAGTCTATGATGTACTGATATATAGTAAGCCTCATGGAATAAAACTCAGATAGTACAACTATTAATTATAAACATGCAATCATTGAACACTCAGTGATTCATACAAAATTAACCTTTCTATGTGTTGTGCTATTCCTGAGAATATCTTAGGTGACACCTTGATCTGTCGGTATGACCATTCTTACTGGTCTTAAGCTCGTAATAGGTTTCTTATTCGGCCCGATGTTTAACGCAGCGGAGAACGCCTCTTCTACTCCACTATACTGTTCTGTTGGCTCGACCCTACTCATATTAACGCCACACCCACTGACTCAGAAAGTAAACGATACAGCTAGCTAAACACAGTGAACAATGGGAGGGTGTTTAGCGAAATATAACGAAAATGTACAATGCTGTAAACAAGCGTAGGCGGCCTAACCAAAATGTCGACGTATGCGATAGACACGTCAAGGACACTCATGATTGATTGGCTGTTGCTCTCATTTTTTTGCCTACAGACATAACTTTTACATTCTGTTTTGAAAGCTGAAAACTATTTATTTTGATTATAATGGAATATTGGATAAACCGGGTGGGAGTAAAGTTTTACTTGTCACTACAATGATGGTTGAAAACTCCTGACAGCCGAAATATTATGATGAGGTGGGGGATTATGTTAAGCTAGGTCATCTGTAGGTAGAGACAAATAGACAAGAATCAATAACATGCAACCTGATACAACAGTATATAGCCATATCGAGATGATTGCAGAGGATAGAAACTGAAAATAATGATATAATCCGTTGTTAAAATGATATCAGAGACAAAATGTATTCAGGAGAATAAATAAAAATACTAATAAGATTTTTGGAATTTAAGAAAAACACGGCATGGGTTCATCTGCGCAGTTACCACTGTATAGAATCTTTCTACATTTTTTATTGATTGAGTCAATTATTTTGGTTTAGGGGATATCGTTTAAGTGTCCTTTAGCATCGTTAAACTTTGGTTAAAACGTAATAATTTACAATAGATTTCAGGGAAGCGGCGTTTTAATGCACTTGTAGTGCACCTTTCCTGACACCGAAATAATGCTAGGCTTAAAACAGATAAATAAACATCTAAAATATGTAGATAATATACATAATATAACCTCTTTATATTGGACTAATAAATAAACTGTTTGTTTGAGAACTTTTTATCATATAACGTGTTTTCTAATTTTTTGTTGTTGTCAGTACTTACACGCAGGTAGAGTACTGATTAGCTGCGTGCTGGTGTACATTAATTTATGTAACGGTGGTCAGATGTTAGGCAATAGTAACACAACAAAACGTACCTTACAACTGGTGAGTCCGAGTATCAATTTATTATTGAACTTGTAGGTTTTCACACATGTGTATTTATTTATTTATTCTAAGGCCAGTATCACGCAGGCTCCATTATTTATTGAATTTTTTGTTGCCTACATTTATACCGTTAACCTCGCCTGATTAACTAGTTCACTAGTTACTAGCCGGTCCTAACCCTGGGTAAAGAGGGAATGTTGGGCATAGGGCTAGCAACACTACCCTGTAGAACTAATCCAGCCACTAAAGAAACTTCTAAGCACAAAGAAAATGTAAAAAATAGACCTATTCCTCGCTGGAATCAGGGAGACAAAATGACGCCGGTTGGTGAAAGCCTTCGGCAAGCCAGTCGGCCAATGTGTCTTCTCTCGATGAAAGCGAAAGTAAGGATGGGGACATGAAATGTCCGCATCATGTATGAACCTACCAAGGCTGCCTAGATTGCAAAAGAAATGAGGAGGTATGGTATGGAAGTGCTTGGAATCTGTGAAAGCAGATGGAATGGAAGTGTACTCTCCAAACTCAACTGGAGAGTCAATAATCTACTCAGATATTGTCATCCAGACGACAATCACGACCACACTGAGTTCTGGAGTGGTTATCATGATTTCCCCAAGAACATCAAAGTATCTCATACAGTGGAAAACAGTCTCCGCGAGGATCATGACAGCAAGATTCAACTCAAAAGGAAGGAAAGTCACAATCATTCAAGGCTATGCTAAGCACCTACAAATACTGCAGCCACAGACCAAAAGAAGAAGGAGGAATTCTACAGACAACTGCAATCAGTACTAGACAAAACCCCACTCCAGTTGGCGATATCAAAATTCTAATGGGTGGAGTGACATGAATGCCAAACTGGGAGAGGACAACACAGGAAGAGAACTTATCATGAGTCGAGAAGCACTCAGTGAAATGAATGAGAACGGAGAACTGTTTTCAGATTTCTGCGCATTCAACGATTTGGTGATTGGAGGCAGTGTGTACAAACACAAGGATATTTACAAAGCGACATGGACTTCACCAGATGAACACACTACACTAAAAATCAGATTGACTTCAACTGAATGTGAAGAAAATGGAGACGCAAGCAGCCTATTGGACACAAGATCAGATGAAGAAGAGGAGCAGATGTAGGTTTAGACCACTATCTAATGCAAGGAACCTTCCAAATCAAGTTGAAATCCTTCAAAGAAGTTGGTGATAGACCACCGTCCAACTTCAACACCCAGAAACTGAAGGACAAAACTAAAAAGGAAATCTTCACATCAACCATCAGGACGAAAAGTGAGACATTAAGCAACATCCGCGAGGGAACCTGCGTGGAAGAACACTGGGAATCTTTGAAAGAGATGTGGAAAGAAACCTGCATAACCGTGTTAAGAAGGAAGAGGAAGCAAGACAAGGAATAAACCTCGACGGCGACATGGAAGCTGATAGAGCAAGGAGAGGAAGATGGCGAAGCAGAAGATGAACCAGTGAAAGGATGCACAACGAAAAGACCAACCGAATACAACGTATAATACACTACACTGAACAAAGAAGTGAAGAAGAGTGTGCGCAATGACAAAAGACAATTCTGTGACACACTGGCAAGTGAAGCAGAACTGGCTGCTAGTAGGAGATGTGACAACATTGTATCAAATGACCAGGTTACTATCTGGGAGGGGAGAGATCAACACAGATGAAACCAATAAAAAATAGTGAAGGAAACCTAGTTACCGCCAAAGAGGAGAAACAAAGGTATCGACCATCTACTGACATTCGTCCAGAAATACCACCAGCAACGGCAGAACTACCAGTGAACACAGGCCCCCGACAAAAGCAGAAGTCCTGAATGTCATAAAACTGCTGAAATTCCGGAAAGCAGCAGGACCAGATAGAATTCCACCAGAAGCACTTAAAACAGACAGAGACAACAGCGGACATCCACACACCACTACTGCAGAAGGTCTGGAAGGAAGTAAGGGTACCTAACGATTGCAAGAAGGGCTACCTCGTCAAACTTCCAAAGAAGGGCGACCTAAGTGTTTGCAAGAACTGACGCCGAATCATGCTCCTGTACACCCCAAACATAATATTAGGCCACATCATCCTGGAGAGACTAAAAGATGCTCCGCATTCAAAATTACGACCGGAAATGGCTGGCTGACTGACTGACTGACTGGCTAGCTTCAGGAAGAACAAATCATATGCAGATCAAACTGAAACGCTACGCTGCGCATCATCATAGAACACACATGGAATGGCGGTCAACTCTCTACCTCAACTTCATCGACTTTAAAAACGCCTTCGACAGCACAGAACGAGAAGTAATTTGACATCTCTTCCAACACTACACTTTTCGTGACGCAAACCTTTATCAACCTCACTGAACAGCTATATGCCATACGATGCTACACATACCAAGTGATTCACAATGGAAAGCTCAGTGACGCCATTAAAGTGAAGACAGGAGTAAGACAAGGGTGACGCCTACTGTCATCGATCATCTTCCTGATTGTGGTCGACTGGATCATGCAGCAAACCGTGAGGAGCGAGAAGATGGGCATACGCTGGATCGATGAAAAGACCCTAGAAGGTTTGGATGTCGCCGATGATGATTTATGTTTAATGTCTTGTAGCACAAACTTGAAGATCTGCAAGCGAAAACTAACAACTTGACAGAAGAGGCAGCGAAAACGGGACTTCAAATGAATGTAGAGAAGACAGAGATGATGTAGATACCCAACAAACAACAACAACATCATCAACAAGCACCAATCACCATCAACAGGAGAAACTTGAAGTAGTCTCTTTCACCTACCCACCTAGCTAGGCAGCATCATTTCAACTACAGGTGGCAGAGGCGAGGATGTCAAAATCAGGATTGGAAAAGCAAGAGAGGCCTTCATCAATCTGAAATCAGCGTGGAAATCTACTGCACTCACCATACAGAAAAAGATCTGGATTTTCAATACCAATCCAGTCAGGTCAGTGCTGCTATATGGTTCAGAAACTTGGCGTGTCACGAAAAGCATTTTCAACAAACTACAGACATTCATCAACAGCTGCTGTCTACGCTCACTCCATAATGAAGATCAGATGGCCAGAAAGAACAAGCAACAAGGAACTCTGGCTGGCTGGCAATGAACCAACAAGAAACCTATCGCCCAACAAATACACTGAAGAAAGTGGAGATGGATTAGATTGAGCATGCAGTGAGAAGGCCGACTGGGGAAATCACGCGCCAGCCCCTCGAGTGGAATCTGAAGGGGAAACGACGAGTTGGGCGTCCCAGCTGAGGGTGACATGAAGATAATGTGAGGAAGAAATGAAAGCTTGTGATCAGTTTTATTGCGTCAGGTTGAAAAGACTGCAGAGGACAGGGTGCAATGGAGGCGTGCTACTGAAACCCTATGTTCCACTGGGAACTCAAGGGAAAAATAATAAATAATAATAACATGTATACCGTTACACTTTGCCTGCATTCACTAGCCATATCACCTAGTTTTTTGTTTGATATCTCTGTACATGGCTGAAGCTCAAGACTCGCCAATGCATATGGCCTTTACTGCCCCCTCCCCACTTTTTGAGCGCACAAACCCTCAGCCTTGTTCCCACATATGGAAGGCTTACTTGACCTTAAGCGAATTACCTCGCAAGAAATCAAGGCAAACTTGATAATTGTCAGCCTTCCCGAGAACATTATGGAAGATATTTTCGATGTGCATGGCAACAATGCTCCAACGCTTCATGATCGTCTTAAGCAGATCCTCATCAAATATGTAGCTCTCTGACTGACCAGAAAAAGGTACAGGAACTTTTCCGCAATGTTCAGTCAGGCAACTGGAAGCCTACGCAAATGCTAGGCCAGATGCAACAGGTTGTTTCTGATCTCAAGATCAACAATACCTTTCTGAGACAACTGTGGCTCTAATGCTTTCCAAAGTCGGTTCAAGACATCCTTGCACCTTTCTGTCAGTCTCCACCACTGGAACTAGCTGAGGCTGCGGAGGCAGCAGTAAAGCAATGCGATGGCAACCCGGACTGGTAGCAGTCAGCCTTAATGCAGATGCATGGCTATCAGGTAGCTCTTCAAATTTAGACCCTATTACTCATATAACTAAATTGTATGAAGGGCTCTGCAGCATCCGCAAGGAGATCAAGGGACATCGGTTGTCATGCAATTATGTTTCTCGCTGCCGTTTCCGATCTGCCGTGAAACATAGTCACACTGGATCTCAACCATGGAACTTAACCTAGAATTTGTTGGTATCATAGACGCTATGGTGCCGACGCGAGAAAGTGCGCTAAACTGTATACCTTTGACTCTAAGCAGCTGGAAAATCCTGGGTTTCTATCACCCAATCATTTTCGAACATTTTCAAGCCAACAGCGTTTCGCATTACACAATGACAACTAGTTCACCAGTTCTCGAGAAAACCATGACATAAACTACGAGCCATCAAGACTGAGTTCGAATATATGATGGAGATGGATATCATTAGATCCTGCAACAGCCCATGGTCTTCTCCTTTGCTCTTGTGAAATGCGACAACTTGAACCGATGCACTACTGTACAAGGTTCTATGTTGATTTTATCCATGTATCAGACAAAAAAGAATACAAAACTTATGCAAAATTTTGTGCTGGTTTGCATGATGTATGGCAATTTATTCATGAGAAGAACAACTTCATGACGTACTCTAAAAACACACCCACCAAACGAAACATAATTTGAGTGACATAACTTAAGGTCTACCTACAGCAAAATACGTTTCGAAAAGAAGAATTCACCTATTTGAATCACAATAGTTTTATTTAGGTGAATACAACTTTACGAAAGGTCAAAAAAACTACGTAAATGTAATCAAGTTTTAGAGATGTTGAAACAAAATAAACTTTCACTTACCTCAATTTCTATTTTCTGCTTTGCCAGCTCATTGAGAAATAGATACCGCCTATTTTGGTCCATGGGTTTTGTAGAAAAACGGTAGGCAAGAACATAATCAGTTCTGCGCTTACCATCTCGGAAATAAAGATCTGGACTAGTCTGTAATAGTAACAATGATAATGGTACACTAAATAGTTTACAAATACATCTTAAAGGTGCCCAGTAAAATTCATATCCATATTATTTTTTTTAAATAAAAACAAACTGATGAAGGTCACATAATTTTCAGCGCTAAAAGTGTCGTATTTATTTATGATCATAAAACTGCTTCATTGTAACTGAGATGAGCTTCATACTACACAAATATTTCACTAGAATTTAACATTTTCACCTTCTATATGTACACAAATTAATTGTATTGATAATGCTGTCTGACAATTATACACATGCAATGCGTTGCTAACAGCTAAACCTATAGTTTCAAAGGCAAACGATACCGTCCTACAATCCAAACTTTATTACATCGAATCACACAAAGGAACTGTATTGTTTCAAGTCAATTTTTCTATGGTTGTCAAAGTCTCCATTAGCCAGATGGTTGTTTCAAGTTGAAGTAGGCATTTTTGTTATCATTAATTTGTTCGCTTTTACATAAACTTGATATAATATTATCCCCCAAGAAATATACCACAAGAAATAATACAACAACGCTATGCAGACTTAAAGAGAGATGACGATGAGGAAAAGCTAAATACAATCTGGAGGTTTGTGGAGATTTGAATTAATATAGCACTCATTGGTAACTAGCTTCGAGAGGTGATTCCCGAAATTCCAATGAAACGTCGTGACCAGTGGAGTCAACCAAGTCGAACATGAGGACAGTTACTCAATGACGACATTGGTTGGGGCTGGCGCTTATCGTGAACTGACAGAAGTCGGGGATATTGACCATTGGATTCCGACCCAGTGGTCCAGTGGTGACATGCTGGTCTCAGAAATTGAAGGACCTAGGTTCGATCCCTAACGGGGTCGTGGGTGCGCACCATCGAGGAGTCCCATACCAGGACGAAACAGCTGTCCGGTGCTCCCAGGTATCCAATGTTTCTCCAAATCATTTCAGTCCATGATGAATTCCAACCTGAAAAGCTAAATAGTTTAAAAAAAGAAGAAACAGTCGCGTTCACAAAACTGTTGATAAGTAGAAAGAAGCAGGAAACTATAGCACGGATTAGTTGAAATTCTGAGATATATCCAATATCGTCTCAAGCCACTGCGTCATGTGATAGCTTGGGCAGCAGCAGGAAGGTTATGATGTACTATAAATTATGTTTACGTTGATTAAACAGAATGAAAGGATTTCAGTGTGGTATTCCTCACAGACTGATTCCGGCTGGAAGAGCATTGAAAATCTGGGAGCATAGGATAGCTGTTTAGTCCTAGTATGCATAATGCCAGTTCTTGATGAATATCACAGTGAAATCAATGCATTGCCACAAACCTCCAAACAGAATAAAATGAATCGGTTGAAGGTTTTAAAAACTACTTTCAAATTACAGTTATCGTTGACTGGGTTCGCCCTTCACTCAGGGATCACTTCAACTTCTCTTAGAAATGAATCAGACCAAATCACAAGTTGTTGTACACCATGATGTGTAAGTAAACTTGCGAATCCTACTGCAGTCTTCTACATACAGTAAATTCTTTTCCCTTATGTGATAAAAACCAGTGCAAATTGGTGTGCGTTGAGAAGTCCTGACTAGGTACCCAGTGTGAATACGATCAAGAGGTAGTAACGCGTCACAAATTCACATGGCAGTCGGGCAAAACCCTTGGTGATTGAAGTGAAATAAAATTCTGGTCAGCAGTCAGACTTCGTAGCTCAGTTGGTAGAGCACTGCGCCAGTAACCCGGTGGTCGCTGGTTCGAACCCAGCAGCAGCCCGGATTTTCATCTCACCCTCAATCATTACCCAGTATAAATATTAGTCTGCCAAACTACGGCTATCTCAGATAGTCAAATCGTAAAGTGATTTATATTAAAACAATCCAAAGTATTAAGAAAGTCAAGAATCTCAAGTTGTACATCAAAATCACTGCTAATTTATACATTATATAATAGAAGGTTTGAGAATTGTACCGAGGAGTAAGAAATATATGATACTGTGTACAATGCCAGATAGCACACTAGGTAACAAACGAAGATATGATGTCTATGAGACTGTGACCAACTCAGTGGGTGAGTAAAACAAAGAATTACATAATTAAAATAAAATCAAATTGTAGTCACTACAGAAGTGAGAGATTGGTCATGCTCTCCTTTTATATGCAGAAATCCGGTTGAAAGCATTTCATGGCAGTAGCTGCTGTGAAGCGTAGTAGACCAGACGTTATTTGAACATTTATGATTTTAAAAGCACTAAAAGTATTAACTTGATATCCTGTACTTACAAGGTGACTGCTGATCAAACTGGTTAGAATTTTGCTTGTTTACAAGGATAAACTCTCCGGAATAGGCTCAGCAAACCAAATGAATGCTTACCCTCAGTCCTTCCAGTTTAATTGCCGTCGTGTGTGTATGTAAATTCACAAATCCAGTTGGAGTTGACATACGCAAGAAATTTATTCAGTTCGAACTGTCTCAATAGGAATGTTGTATCGTACACTTATGCAAGTTTGGCTACAAGAAAACTACCTTTAGAGTTTCTTTGGTCTTTGTACCTATTCTCTCAGATATTACATGTATTTTAAATGAAAGATGAATAAAAAAAACCTTCTTTTCAACAGTTGGCTGCTTAATTTTATTGACCTGTACTTTTCTATACTTCATAACAGATCTCTCAGAATATCCATTCTCTCTAAGACATTTTTGAATGTTTAATTCTTCCTCTAACTTATCCTCAGAAAATAAGTTTTTAGCTTTATGTTTTGATTGGCTCATGCTTAAATCTGGCGGAACTAAATCTGTGGCAGTCAAGTTATTGTCCGGTTTATATATCCTTCTTATCTTTTCGATCGTACCATCACTTCTTCTTCTCACTTTGAGTTCCAAGAAACTAAACTCATTGTCATCATCATATTCCATCGTAAACTTAACGTTGAGCTTTACGAACAACTGAGTTGCATGGTTCATGTTATTAAAAACGATAAGTGTGCCATCTGGTGATTCAGCTCAGGTGCGTCTGTTCGAGATAACCAATGAACATAATCTCCAACAAGTGTCCTAAAGTTGAACCCATCGCCACTACACCAATCTATGAATAAAATTGGTTACTGAGTTGGAATTGTGCAGCCTTTGCGCAAAAGAGTACTAGCTGCTTCATACCGATTACGGGTAATGGTAGTAAATCAGTTTGTTGAATGGGGTTGTATCAATCGTGACACACAACGATGTACTTGTAAATAAGGTCGCGTACCATGATACCATAATGTTATCTGAAACGTCAGTATAAATGGAATACGTGAATTTTTGGTTTGAGCCAATTATTTCATACTATCAGTCGATTTATTCTTGATAAGATCTTGGTGATGTTTATTTACTTTGTTTTTAAATGTTAATATCGCATTCTTTCGAGTATCATCAACCTAGAATTTTATTGAGTGGCCGAGAATTCCCAACATTTTATGTACATAATCATTTTTGTTTATTATGATAACACCAGATCGTTCATTAGGTGTAAACATTACGATATCTTTAAATATGTGCCGTTTTCCAAAAGCCACCTTGTATTCTTTGTTAAAGATTTTCAACTGTCCAAATGATACGTAGTAGTGGTTAGCTATGTCAAACGGGCTTCAATTCTGAGAGTTGGTAGCATAGGTTTTCAAATTATGTCTCTTTATCTAGGTTAGTAAAGGTGGCCAAACTAAGACGTGGCACCAGTCCCCGAAGTTTTTGACTGTTGGTCTTAGCTGTTTGGAGAAGTCTAGATTGACTGGTTAGGGTCCTCGAAAGGATACGAATCAATGTTTGAAGACTCTTGATTAAACGGCTGAAAATCTGTCACAATGGCGAAGATGTATTGATTCACTGATATCTTACAAAGCTTGGATGTTTTGACTAACCCTTAATTTAAATTCCTTCTCTTCCGATACAACTTCGTCTACTTTCTTATCAGCCTTTTTCTAGCCACTCGTACTTTGCATGCTGTTGTGAAGTGTAACAACTTGAACCGATGCACTTGTGTGCAACGTTCTGTATTGATTTTATCTGTCTGTCTATTTATCAATTCGACTGACGAGTTTTACTGGAGTGTGTAGCTTATATTCGAGGGATGGAACTTCAATTTCAACTTGAATTAGATTAATTTTTAGCAAATTACACATATATTTCTTAAGATTTTCAGGGAATTATTCATGCAGCTTGTTTTTGACCGCGAATTTCACATGTATATACTCATAATCTTTAAAATGTCTTGGATTAAGTTAATAAATGTAATCCAGTAAATAATATTTAGATCATTGAGTAAGCTATCAAAAGTGGCTAACTCAGACTAGAACGTTGAGATGTATCTAAGGAATGACTAAATATGTGATTTCACGATATGATCAAGATTTGTTTGAGAAGGCGGAATAAATAAGTCGGATAAATTTCAACAACTGATGTGGGGATCAAATAAATTGATGTCGCTTTATTCCTTAAATCTAGTCTTCTTTGCTTTGTCAAAATAGTTTAATTGTATATGTAAATGACTTGCTGGAAGTGTACGCAATTAGTAGATTTTTAAGAGCAATCGACTTATAGTCTACTATTCTAGAATCGAAATGAACTTAGCAGCCTTATACACATTCGTACGATAGACAATGACCCACACATATTGTATGAGAGCCAATGATATGATACTACCTGGCTGCCCAAACCTCGGTAAGTAGAGATCTGTTTGAATCCATGATCCATTGGTTAAAAGTCGACTCTGTAAACCAATGAGCTACGATTATTCTAGAATAAATGGGACTAACTGGATTTACCTTTTCATTTTTAGTGATTTGAACAATACCAGACTCAGAGATCAGATAATAACACTTCTTTCATAGAATTTATCTTATTTGAAACAAACTGGTAATGGGTAGGTTTCAAGTTTAATTTATTAGTCCCAATAGTAGGCCTGAACCTAAACAACAAATGTTGCACAATCATGCTACTACATCTTTTAACATTGTCCTGATTCAAGAGTTTAGTTAAAGTTATCTCCGAAATTTCGACTAACTACATAGTGAACGAAATACTAAAACGTCTCTGCAAGAACTGACGCCGAATCATGCTCCTGTACACCCCAAACATAATATTAGGCCACATCATCCTGGAGAGACTAAAAGATGCTCCGCATTCAAAATTACGACCGGAAATGGCTGGCTGACTGACTGACTGACTGGCTAGCTTCAGGAAGAACAAATCATATGCAGATCAAACTGAAACGCCACGCTACGCATCATCATAGAACACAACATGGAATGGCGGTCAACTCTCTACCTCAACTTCATCGACTTTAAAAACGCCTTCGACAGCATAGAACGAGAAGTAATTTGACATCTCTTCCAACACTACACTTTTCGTGACGCAAACCTTTATCAACCTCACTGAACAGCTATATGCCATACGATGCTACACATACCAAGTGATTCACAATGGAAAGCTCAGTGACGCCATTAAAGTGAAGACAGGAGTAAGACAAGGGTGCCGCCTACTGTCACCGATCATCTTCCTGATTGTGGTCGACTGGATCATGCAGCAAACCGTGAGGAGCGAGAAGATGGGCATACGCTGGATCGATGAAAGGACCCTAGAAGGTTTGGATGTCGCCGATGATTTGCGTCTAACGTCGCACAAACTCGCGCCAGGCCCTCGAGTTGAACCCAAATGGGAAACGGCGAGTAAGGCGTCCGAAAGTGACATGGAGGAAATCGTGTGGGGAAGAAATGAAAACTTATGGGCAGTTGTGGAGCCAGATTAAAAAAACTGCAGAAAAGAGAATGAAGTGGCGATGTACTACTGAAGCCCTATGTTCCACCAAGAACCTAAGGGACAAATAATAATAATAATAAATTTGTTGCACGCATTAAAACCCCGAGAATCAGTATAATTTTCTTGGAAAAGTCAAAAGCTGCTTCAGAACAGTTTTAGTTCATCATAAAAAAGAAAGAAACAAGCAATTGTATACAGATGAATACTGTAGACGGGGTTCACTGTAGTTACCTAGTAAATGTCACCAAAGGTGTTGATATATGTTTAGGCTTTTCCTATCTTACTGACATAGTATTAACAACATTGAACTTTATCTCTCTCACGCTTAAACCTAAGTTGAAACCGTTTAATGCTCTTCACTATGGTTCTGTGTGATGTGTTGCCCAAGCTTGTAAGATACAATGGAAACGTTTTGGCACTATTTCGCCAAGTGTCAGAGGGACTTAGGTTGTATATTTCACTACAGTTGGTATATGACAGACGAGTGTCCCAATGTGGGACAAGAAAGTGAACCTAGACACTAAACCTTCATCAAAACAGAACATTACTCATTAATTCGATAAATTATAACTATCACTTATTCAGTGAACAATAACGGTTAAAAAAAAAGGAAATGTGGATAGCAAAGATTGAACTACTTCAAAAACATCCGGCACTACACACACCTTATACATCCTACCCAAAGACCGAAAGTATTACTTGGTGCTGAGAATGGAATTTAATAGCACAGCAACTAAAGTTGTGAACTGATATTCTAAATATTTTAAAGTTATCCCCTTAGATGACCATGAATATGATACGATTGAAACCTGCTATGCCTGAGCTTTTCGAATGCAAAATTATTGCCCATGTTGAAAGCAATATCTATTTAAAATTTTTGACGTCACATCATAAAGCAGTGAAAAACCCTGTTTATCCCAAATGAACATTACACTAGCAAGGACTAAACCAAATTGATCGCCTTTTTCGCATAAATCAAAAAAAAATAACCAAAAACATTTGAGACATTTGATCAACCCACCAAATTGGTAAATTTAGTCATCAATAGTGTGTGAAATCCGGCTTCTTTCCCTTCAATGTCTTTAAACACCCATAGTATTCTTCATCATTTAGTCTGCTTTCCGGTCAGTAAAATAAACGAGAAACCAAGGATGACATAGTTCAAGTGTTTGTATTCTTATGTTGGCGTAGCATATAGACAAATCACTGAGGAATTGTACAAACGTCTCAGTCAAATGCTTGTCTTGAGAAGAGAAACGGAGTTATACACATTGGCTAAAAGAATGTGCTATCTACATTTCCTTCTAGCAATTAGTACAGTACTCAATCACACCTAAAAAACTTCATGTAGGTCCTTCCTTGTATAAATTTGTTTCTATGCTACTCATGTCAAAGACAGACAAAATCAACATAGAACCTGGCATTCATATGCCAGAACTCTTTAGTAATTAAATACTTTTGAAAGTACAGAGTTAACTTGGGTAAGCTCTCACATTAGCAACTAGATTTCTAATACATAAATAATAGCAAGCTGTGTACTCTTTAACTAGTTTGCTTTCAAGAACAAAAGTTGATTAGTTAGTTCATTTCTAATACTTTCTTCGTCTCATAGGAAACGAGCTAAATACAGTATTGTAGAGTTTTTATATTCAATAGTAGGTGCATAAAGTATTATCTGCTTGCTCTTGATCTGGACTGACCACCGATACGTAGAGAGCTTTGAGTGAAGAGGACGTTAATCATGTGATAAAGTAAATCCTACCGATTGTTTACATGAGATAAGATGTTTGTCCATCACAATCTTAGTCAGGTTTAGAGGTACAACACTAGTTCTACACAATATACCATAGTCTTTTTTCAGCAAGCTAGGAAATAATAAAGGGGAACAATAGAAGAAAATAGGCAAGATGCAGGACTTTATAGAACGTATAACAAGAGACTGAGTTATACCAGACACTTAAGTGACTAACATAGTAGGTTAGGCGGAAGATTCTGCTGGAAAGTATTCAGATTTGAAAGGACGAGGAAAGATCAGGAGAAAAACACACTGAGATAAATCACACTTGTAACATTCTCCAATACACAGCCATCAACACAAAAAGAATCAGGTTATTTTCACGTCTGAAACCAAGGTTTATAGTCTGACATACTGAAGAGCTAAGCACAAGAACATGCATGGGAGACCACCGTCCATTAGTAGATAGGAAACCCTTTAGTTGGCAACAATATGATGAAGAGGAGACATGTACAGAAACTGTTCAGTCATCAGCATATTTGATAAAATTGATACTAGCCGAAGATGGCAAGCCATACAGAAAGAAAGAGAAAAGACGGATGGGAAGAACAGTACCTTGAAGAACACTAGACTCAGGAAGTAATTGGGTGGAGCACTTCACTCTGAACAGTATATTGTAGCCCTTCACAGAATAGCCTGGGATGAAGCTCTATTCACTGGTCACTATGATAAATTTAACGCAGCAACTACGCGAAGGTTCGTGTACTAGGTGATGAGTCACACCTATTGTGCGATGGTTAATCGTGCTAACTGAAAACATACTTCAACCGAATGGCGCAATTATAGGTCAAAAATCGGTCGCTTATATACCGAATAAAAGGCTTGACAAGAGGAAAACAAACAAAGATATTAAAAGTGGAAAAAGGAACCAATCACCGCTTTGTATTTTAAACCGTGGTAAAAATCAGTAACATTGCGTGGCGCGAAAAAAGAACGACCATAATATGTACATATTACAAGTTATTTTTTTAGGAATCGGAAATCCTTAACACACACAGAAAAGAGAAAGAAATTAATTCACAAGAATTAACACTTACAGATGTATACGTAGAAGTTCCCCAAGCAAACTCCGAGTCCATATGCTAAATGTAATAACATATAGAATTTATCATGGTAAGATAAGATTATAAAAACACCAAGAGACTAGTAATGACATAGGGTGAAAAGTAAGGTTACACAAATGTGCAGTATGCCTGGTAACTGAAAAATGCATAGTTTTATCAACGTTATATTAACTACTTGGAACAACATCTTTTGCCTGATCCTCTAGATTCAGTATCTTCAGCTGTGCACACGCTTCGTCAAGTGGTTTTCGAAAGTTGTTTCGGATTACGACTAGGCATAAACACTAACATAGCGCGCTACATTAATCAGCAGCAGATAGCGAAGATTGGTCATTTTAGTAATTTTTATGTTGACTTTCGGTCAATGGTTGGACTTACCTATCGCAATGAACCAACAAGGTATACTAGATGAAACATTTTTCCCCATGTTCCTACCACATAAGAAGGGGATATTGGATAGTAGTACGACAAAGAGCAGTTACCACGGTGTAAATAGTTACGCTAAGATGGAGGCGATGGTGAATTCATACTACTAAATGTAGGGGATGTGACAGCAATAAGGTTTCCTAAAAACGACAAGCACTCTACACTGATACTGCCTTTTCTTACTGAAACGAGGGATTAGAAAAGATTGGTTTCTAAAACAGCACACTCTTCTCTATCTAGTGGTCTTTCACTAACTGCCATGAGGGCTTCTATAACACAACACAACCAAACCTAAATGCAGAACTTTTCAAAAGATCGTATGTGACTGACCCCAAGTAAATATTCTTAGTGTCCTATGTTCACATAAAATTAACCCACTTTATCTTCTGGGTAATTCATGAAGACATCAACTCCCATGGTGAGGGCAACCAGGAAGTACAAATCATCTGCGCGCTTCCAGGAATATACAAAATTCATCTGACCATAAACTACCTTCACCTTTGTCTCTTCCTGTGTCTTCACTACCTGTTCCTTTCACCAACACTAAGCCCCTTAGTTTCCTCAACTCCATATCCTTCGACTATCGCTAAAGAATTACGCCAGCACAACACCATTCTTAGTCGCTTAAGACCCCTCTGTCAATTTCAAATTTAAGTCTTTACTGCCCGAACCCTATGCTAAATCAGATAGCAGACCTTACTAACTAAAACTATGACATCTCAAGCTACGGGTTTCTGTTGTATTCTTCAGACACGAATACACGGTCTATATGTGGTCACTCACTTGAACTCGCTTTATCTGCAATGTTCACCTCGAAAGTGTTCGGAGATTCGATAGCCTGCTCCGCTGCACTTTCTAGCATGCGTACAACACCAAGCTGCACGTCAGAAAGTTGAAATTGAGGTTAAATGCCTACCGGTAGACAGCTGTGTCACATGGCTCAATGAATTTGTAAAGGACTGGAAACGAATATGATACTCGAAAGTAACTTTGACTCTACGTGCCTGGGTGTTAATGCAGGGCAGCTGTACATGGCATTACTAAGTGATGCTGGGTTTTCGTTGTTGTGCGTCGATGACTACTGTTCGAGTCTAGTTGCGTACGACAGTGAGCCTCGTCATTGCTTTGTTGGATATGAACCAATAAAACCGCTGTCGACAGTATCCATATGTGCAAGATCGATTGCGCGGGTCTCCAAAGTAGTGACAGCTCTGTTAGCTGTCAGAATGCTCCCTAGTGCGCTGGAGGTATTGCAAGCGAAAGGCAAGGTGGATCTAGCTTTCTAATTTTAGTAGTCTCTGGTGTTGAAGCAACCCCCAGAGACGGGTGTAGTCTCACCTTATGAAGGCGAACAATATTCGACTCCGAATGCCGGTATCGCTGGCCCTAGCCTTGGCTGTATTTCAGTAGCCCAAAGAGAGCCACCGTTGTAAATCTGTCGGTATTATGAATTAACAGAGCAGGCCTCTCAGAGGAATGTCTTTCCGGGAAGGGAAGCTGCACTTAGGTCTGCAAGGTTGTTGATACTTCAGTGAGACGCGTCCCACGCACGTCCATAAACGGAGAGGTGAGTGTGGTCAGTGAACCGATTACCCTGCAAGTGTGAATGCCTCGAAGCCTCAGAGTTGGGAGGGTTCTCGGATAAAATATATCAATTTAGAGGGGGGTTAACACAATGTTTTGACTGGGGTGTTCGTCTTCATGTGGATACATTACTTGGATGTCTCCTGACGACAACAACATATAGCTAAAGGCATATCTTTCGATTAGCTCTCGCTCGGCTTTACTCTAGTATAAATAATTTTTCCCACAGATAAAACACTACACCAATCGTTTAGACTCTCTAGTCTGTGGTAACAAGATAATGAAGTATGCAAATATACTAACTACACAGATAATAATAATAATAATTTTAGTATTTGTTCCAGTGATGGAAAAAATTGTGAGAATGGCATCTCAACAATCAGTGTAATTCAAAACTTAAAAAATGTCGCGTAATACTAGAGAAGTATGTGGATCGTTCATTTCATGTGCACCTGTTAAATTCCACACGTTTCAGATTTGGTGAGTATAGAACTATACTTCAAGAACCCATTGAGTGCCTTCAATGCAGTACAGTCCCAACATAATTTCAGAATGCTGAATTGGTCACTGTTATAATTAGTGTAGTTCTAATGATGCAAGTGAATACGTTGGTAATATGTTTGCTTACCTTCATGTGTAGGTTACCACATGTCTTTACTATTGTTTCTACAGAGACTTAATATCACGTTAGGCTTTCTCAGAGTGAGCATTGCTATCACTTTCAGATAAATGCTTAGCTAACTCCCCTCTAAATGCGTACACGGCGTCCTCATCATCCAATTGACCACAAAAAGGCTTCAACGTCACCTGTTTCCTGCGAACAGTAAAGTGTGGACATACACTAGCCGGTACTAGCGCGTGATCAAAATCTAAGCGGGTATTCCAGAAAGAATGGCAACCCCCACCGATCCTGTCCAACAGTGGCTAACAGCAATGTAATATGTGTCCACCGTCGATTTGAAGTCGGTGGACACCGTGTGAGACAGTATCTCCCCATATGCCTAAAGTTAGTGGTGACCAGGAACAAGTGATTGTCGGAGAGAAATTGCAACAAACGAATACTGTTGTCAGGCCATTGACGTGGGATTCCGTAAATATCTCCTAGATGCCTCTCCGATTGGCTCAGCTTAACTACTGTTGAGCGTTAAAGTCACCTGCCACTATGACTACATCTGAACTTTTTGCTTTCTAACAAAATTGGAAGCTTCTCACAGAGTTACTCCTTTACATCATCCAAGCTACACTCGGTGTGATTGTAGATGGGGATTACGAATAGGTATCATCTAGTCTCACGCTCCTTCCTGGTTCTTACGATCCATTTTAGTCGAGCAGCACGCAGACTGCCATTCACTGAAATCCAGTTGAGAAGCGCAATTTCCGTTCTACACCTCAATACTATGCTTACACCAGCGACTCCACAACAGCTAGCCACTAAGTCTCCGGATACTCATAAAGTGAACTTTGGAAATTCACTACTATGACCAGGTGAGGTCAATCTAATAAGCACACTCGAGTCCTGAATACGTGTGTCACAGACACAGGATACATTCATTACTAGAGATTCCAGAATTATGGAGGGCGATGCCTGCTCTCCGATTTGGCATAGAGTGCGAACATCGAAAGCTCCTACGTGAAATCGGTGGCAGGGTCTTAAGAAGCTAGGAGTGAGGTTTAAATGGCTTTCATCGTTGACAATGGTCGCAGAGTGAGAGGTTAGGTAAAGCGTAATAGGTTCATTATTAGTATCAGGAGGTAAACGCGAAGAAGGAGATAAAGTTGATTAGGTCTTGTGCACTAGTGAAAGTGTGCCGGTAGTTGACACTTCGCGGCTGCCCACACAGTGGAATCCTAGTTCTGCTTAAGGTACCTGAAAGGTAAAAAGATTCGAGTCCATAGGACATCTGCTTGAGGCCTGTCACAAACAGCCTTTTGCGGGTTGTTGTTTTGAGGTTTGTTCATTCGAACGCCGGATAGACAGAATATATTCCGCCGGCACCGGAAGACTGTAGGGCAGGAAGGAGAGTGCTACTTTGAGAGTTACCATTTCTAACCCACCTTCCCAATGGGAAGGCAGCATCAACGAGGCACTTATGGTCATCAAAGGAAAACACGCTGTTGTTACACACCATCTAGCTAGCAGCAGTACGATTTCGCTCACTCAGCCTTCATCACATTGTAGTAATTTACATTACAAAGGTAACTGCTTTTCGTTTTACCAGTATCCAGCAGATCTTTCTGGCATGGTAGGACATCAAGGGAACAAGCGCTTCACTAGCATATCTCGTTGGGTCATTGTGATGTGCAAGCCCATCCACCACAGCAAAGTAGCGGCTATCGATAGAGGAACAAGGGTGCACAGAAAGATCACATCTACATGTCATTACATAAATTTCCTTAGCTTTCCACCTATTCGGTAGAAAAGAAGATTAGTTACATTTCTTGGAAGTAAAGTCAGAAGGATCCGTTCAGATGATTTGATACAAAAGGAGATAGACAACAATTATATTGTCCCATAGTTTTATACAGACGACACTGAAAAAATGAGTAAGAAATTTGAACAAATGACTGTTTAAGGGAAATAATTATTCATGAAGCTCTCATTAAATGGAGACATACCTGGTGACGTTCTATTTTAGGAGCTATCTAGAGTCACCAGAAGATCTTTCGAAGCTCCTCGTCTTTGCTTATCACTTTCCAGTCAGTTAATTATTGTTACACAGACAAAAGATAGGTTGTCTAATTTTGCCACTTGTATATGTATTTACCTATTCAGCTGCTATTGCGAAGAAATCTATATCGAGTGTACCACTAGGCAGCTCAACGAACATGTCACTGAGAACCTACCCTCATGGCTAGGAAAAAGATTAGCGAAGTGAATACGAAGTTCGATTCCACCACACTTGGTCAATAGTGGTCATGTAATCGATAAGACCAAAGTGTTCGAAGTCACCTTTCGCATCCCACAAAACCACTGGAATACAGTTTGTATTCGTATATTACACAGA